CTTTACCAGTCTTACTGTTAGCCTAGCGAAGTAAAGAATTGCGCCGACCGGAGATCGAACCCCGGGCCACCTACCCGGTCGGCGAACACTCTACCGCTGTGCCACTGACACACAAATCAATAAATGGTAATGTTTTATCTCATATAGTGTGGGTAGTGAACACTGGATCAAAGTAAGTGAGTCATTTAGAGTTGTGTATTGAATATCAAACAATCTACCTACATTGAAGAGATTATGCCTCTTAACCATTGCTCAATTTATAGAAATCACTAATTACAATAAGACTTCATGATTTCATTGTCTTATTACGCCCTTCTTACCTCATTTTTGCCTAATATACTTGATAGCATTGTCATCATTATTATTATTATTTGTGACTCTTGGGATTTACACAACGCTTATCTTGTCTCTATTATTTGATTACAGCTCACCATATGACCGCTTTATTTTATCATTAAAATTATTTGTGTCATCACATCCCTCCCTCCTAATTACACTCAATTTACCCCATTTATTTGTCGACATTTTTTGTAGTATTCATATTTATACTCTCACACTACTGAATGCAACTCACCCTTTACCCCATTTCCTAAAGCTTTTTGATCATTAATTACATCAGTATGCCACTTAGTTGTCTGTTCACATTTGTAGTTCTGACTGCGTTGACTCAGAAATTGCCTTCCTAAAAATTCCCCTCTTCGGAAACGGTTATCCAAACCGATATATCGACAGAAACAAGAGAGATAAACAACCCAGATGGTCACCGACTCAGTTCCAAAGAAAAGTTTGGCCTCGATAAAAAAAGGGGACGAAATTTGCACCAGAAAATGATATCATCATTCTATTTCACAGGTTCTCATCAGCTGCAGACTACCTGAAATTAAAATGGTTATATAGATGATAATAACATACTTTAATGTTTGAGTGGTAGTAGAGAAGAAATACTATAAAACTAACGCATCCAGAATGTAAGCATTTTTAGTTTACGTTATCATCATCAATTTATATGCTTTCAAAGTAGAAAAGAGGGAAGAGAGGTAAAACAGAAAAGAGAAAAGATTGATAAACACTGTTAGCTTGTAGGTTCACATTGTAACTCAAAAAAAAAGAAAAACAAAAGCGGTTACAGTTTATAAGATTGACATTTACTCACTGAGTTGAGATCACTGAATTAGATGACTAATTAATGTAATCAAAATCAAAATTCAGTTACCAAGGGAGTGAGAGATTAATTACACTCTCTTTCTGTATGCATAAGTTTGGTTTAAATCATTTCATTGCGATCGCTTCGGCAAATCGTAGTAAATTCGCTGTCCTTTGTCTATTTAGTATTTTGAAGGACTTAGAAATCTCTTCGAGATGACCAGTATCAACAATATGTCTGGTAATTGTACTCTGAGAATATTTGCTTCCTTTCAGGCACCAGTTTCTTGGAATATGTTCAGAAAACCGGTTAGAAGCCCTTCTTTCCGTCTCTCCAATGTCCTTGTTCCTGCAAGTGCATGTAAATTTATAAACGCACTTAGAGGTGACATCAACAGGGTATTTATCCAGTTTTGATTGGCATATAGAAGAAGTAGTGCTCTATAATGTTATGAGTTTAGCTTTATGGAAGCTTCTTTTTATTGCACCTTTCGATCTTCTGTCAAACTTTGGTCATAAATTTACAATTCAAATATGATAAAGCTTCAGATATGCTCAAAAATCGTCTCCCTAAATCAGTCAGTAAAACGTAGACCCTGAAGAAGACGAAGTTAATGAAAGCATAATTGTTTGCTCAGAAAATTTTCAGTGAAAAATTTAGTGTGGGAGGTGGGGTAGGTGTATGTGTGTCTTTGCGTATTGAATCTGTCGTGTTGAAGGCTTCATCTGTCGTTTTAAATACAAACTAACTTAGATACAGTTATATCTGATGTAATTCTCAAGTTAATCTTATCTTGATTACTATTTAGTCTCAAGACTTATCACCAACTGACTTCAGTTGAAAATCGGTGGAGAGTATTGGGCGGCCGTTTCTTCCTTGTTCGGGAGGACTCTCCATCTGTCCGCACTTATGACCTCACCAAGAATTGAACTCAATAGTTGCTCTTATGTATTGTAAGCTGTCTTCAACGCACTGCATCTCACTTATATTCAGAGTTAACCGACACGTTAATTTAAGACCATGGTGTTTGTGAAACAGTTGAGAATAAAATACGTTCTATTTGTCTAATTAAACTAGAATTTTCAAAAGTCATTTTGTGGGGAATTTGATTTGTGCAATCAAGTATGATATCACTTAAGGAACCACTGAAAACTAGTAGTGGACAGACTTTCGCTTTAGCTTAGGACTGACCGGCAGTACCCAGCCACAGCCCGGGTCCGGATCCAGGACCTTAGGGTCATAAGAGAAGCCTGTAGAACATTCACCTTGTGGGACTCAACTTAATGGTCCATAAATTCCGACTTCTAGCGATTCGTGATTTTAGCGTGACCAAGAATTGTTAGAAGTTGAAATTTTATCGGCCATTGAATCGAATCTCAGTGCCTAAATAGTCAATGAGCAACTTGACAGGCCTGGGTTTGAACCCCAGTGGGTGTACGTACTGCCAATCAGTTCAAACTAGGATAAAACAGCTGTCCAGTACTTCCTAGTGGTTCTGAATGGTTCTCTAACTGATAACAATCCTTTTGCAGACTTGACTCACTAGGATTGACTTATGATTCTCACCTATGGTAGTTTACAATTGGCTAAAGAAAAGAAAGGAAGTATAGAGATGTAGTCAAATATTGAATACATTTCAAATAAACGTTTTATTTCTTAAAATAATATCAAACTACTGAGTGAATATTATTTTCGAATCTGTCTTAGTCGAAATATATTCACTGCCGCCTATATATTTACTAATAGACACATGTATGTGAATGAACTGACGACGACATGTTGTCGTTTCAAGAAATCCCCTCTCTTTCTCTCTCCTTCTATCCTTCAAGGTCAAATTTAAGCCTTATTTACACCACTGAAATGTTAAAATCACTTTACACTTCTAATGTCAAATCTGACCCAGTTAATTCATTTCTCACTACCTTTCACTGTGAATAGAAAGATAATCAGTGTAGTATGATAGTTGACGCCCTTTACTGTTTTATTACATTTTGTGAATGGCTTTCATGATGATGATTACTGTGAACGGTTAATTCATTATTTCTTTTTTTTTACTGTGTGATTAATTTTTACGCCTTTACTTTGACAAACTAAAAACTAGTCAACATATTTGTAAGCTATTAAAGTTCACAGGAAATTGATTGCCAAGTTTTAAGAGGGCTAAATGATAGTTGAGTGTTTAAGAAGCTATGCCTTAAAACCTGTAGGTTTTTTCGGTTCACTCCATGGTAGTGTCGTGGGCGTTATCACACTGTGAAGAGTCCCAAACTAGGACGAAACACCTGGCTCCTTGGTTTTCAATGATATCTCGAATTAATGTTGGTTCGGGAAGAAATCTACATTGTTTCGTTTTCTTTGTAAACTCGACCACTGTACCGTAGTGGTTCACTTGGTCACGTAACCGTCAATAAAACAGCCTTTATCAGCTCGAAGTCATCTCATTCGCCTATGTAACTGATATCAGACTGAAAGTTAATAAGTACAACGTAACTTCTTGTAGAAAAGAAAAGCGGAGTCCATTGAATTTATGAATTACTCAGTGTTCATTATTCTTTTTATTTTTGCATCTCTTTATGTTCCGAGTGGAACCTAAGAAGGATTCCACCTTGAGCTTTCAAGTTTCAGTAGCTGTGGTATTTATTCCTCAGGTAGGATTGCTAATCCCTTATGCCTAACTTTCCCTCTTTATTGGGCTTACTACTGACTGAGTGAGGTTAGTTAGAGTTCGTCGTTGGGGATTAGAATTCTGAACTATCGGTGTAGTTGGCAATCATTCTATGACTAAACCACCGATGCAGTGATTATTCTTTATAATAATCCAGATGCCTAACCTGTCAAATATGCATAAAAGAACGGTGGAAAATTATCTTACTAATTTTACTCAGTACTAAGGTCTCATGGTGAATATAAGATTTAATAACTGAGCTTCATGGTTCAAGCGCTAAGATTTTATTTTCTCTCTAGGCAGTATTTTCAGAGCTGACTTTGATATTCAAATTCTTTAGGCGATCTGTGCGTCGGTGGCACAGTGGTTAGGATTCTCGCCGACCATGCACATGGTCCGAGGTTCGATCTCCTGTCGACGCACACCTGATATCTATGGTCGGCCTGCAAAATATGGGCCACCGATATGCATCCTGAAAATTCCATACTTGTACCAAAAATACAGTGTGGAATGAAGCTGTAATCAGAAATAAAAAATTAATCTTCAACGTGTTACTGATTGTTTCCCCGGTGATTTCCACACCTTCTTATCAACTTTTGTTGGTATCCATTATTTTTGTCGACTTGATAGTTCATCTTTTGTCCATGTAACCTTCATTGTATTGTCTGATCTTATACATCAGTGTGTCTGTTGCTTGCAGATTCGTCTCAGTACTAGGCTTCTAGGATATATCCACAACACTTTCAGTATTTCCTCTGTTCTTCGGTCAAACTAGGTGTCTGTGGCTTTCCATATGCATTAATGTGAGGAAATGGATATCATGTCTTTCTTTGGATTACTTTCCCCGGAGAGAGAGAGAGAGAGAGAGAGAGAAAGGCGGGATCGAGTCACTTTCCGGTAGCAATCAGTCACGTTGAAGGCACTAGACAGCTGCTGTTTTGTCCTAGTTGTTGGGACTCTTCGTCAGTATACACACATAATCTCACCGGGAATCTAACTTAGAACCATTATAATCATTAAGTCTTGTTTTTTGTAAAATTTTTATCTGTCAGTTTACGGAGTTAGTGAAGATCGGGATCTCAGTTTCTCACCATTACTCCATAGACACACTGAAATATTCTGAAGTATTCTTGTTATTTTATAGATTCAAATTATTACGTAACTATTTATTTTCTATCTTTTCCTCTATAGGTGGTATAGCGTATATGTTTCCATTGGCAAATAGTTTTATCCATATTATAATGTATACCTATTATGGATTGGCAGCAGCTGGTGCATATCGTTATTTATGGTGGAAAAATTATCTCACCTTAGCACAAATGATTCAATTTGTTATATTAATTGTACACCAAGGTCAAATATTTGTCAGTTCAACACCATGCAATTATCCTAAAGTATTTCCAGCGGCGATTGTCCTCTATGCCAGCCTATTTCTTGTCCTCTTTTCTAATTTCTATATTAAAGCCTATTGGTATAAACAAAGGCTGGCTAAAGGTTTACGAGAACAAAATGGTCATGCAGGTGTTAAGGATAAATCAAATCATGAGAATGGCTCTGTGGTACAACAAACCAATGGTTATGCAACACGTGGAAGTCATACAAGACAGCGTAAAACGGAACATTAATTCGGTGTGTTTTATTTTCGTCGTTTAGCTAACTGAAAACTGTGTCAATTTGATCTGATCAAAAACACATTCACACACACACACACACGTACAATACAAGTATGCACAAATAGGAATAGACAAATTCCGAGATAGTTTTGTGATCACTTTCAAGGTTGTTAATTTTTCCATTTAAATGTATCTGTGTGTGCGTGGGCGTGCGTGCTTGTACGCGTAGGTGTGCAATGACGTGATGAATTGCGTGGGTGTTATCAAGGCAACATCTTTTACACCATAGTTATTTATTCTTCTTTTTTTTCCGCTTATCGCTACATTTTCTTAAAATTTTCTCTGTGTTTATTCCACATTGCAAGTGCATTCATTCATTTTCGATACATCTTCTCTCTCTCTCTTTTACTTCTCAATTACTCTTTTATTGTCTTGTCTATGTGCCCATGTGCTCATTTATATATATATATATTATTGCTCAAATCTCTTTCGTTCTTTTCCCCTTCTTTGTTCTACCTCTTTTCTCTATTTCTAAAAATAAATGTAAAATTAAAGTGAATCATGTATAGATCATTAGTAGTATTTTCATACGCAGTATAAATTTCATTTATATATGTTTATGAAAATAAAGGATTTTGCTTGACATGCTTTGATTTTTCTCTCAGTGATTTTGTTTTTCGTAAGCGTGTTTTGCGCATCGTTGGTTCAACGGTAGAACACTAGTCCACCAGGCAAACACGTCGTTCCAGGTTCGATTCCTATCCGATGTACTCCATTAAAATTTCCTCGTAGCCGACAGTAGGCTTCGTAGATAGGGAAAGCTGCTGAAAATTAAAAAACCTCAGACTTGGCACCTTATGTTCCACATGGGAAGCAAAGGAATGGAAAAAAGAACTTCGTGTGTTTCATGATGTGATATTTACTTAATCTGAATGATTACTTATTATTATTTCCTCTAGTTTGTAGAGGAACATAGGGCTTCAACCGTATGTCTCCATTACGTTCGGTTCTCTGCCAACGTTTTCACCTGACTCCACGTCTGCCTACATGCTTTCATCTCCTCCTCCAGGTCACTCTCGCACTGACGACCAACTCGATGCTTCCCATTCGGGAACCAGTCGAGCGATAGCCTAGCGTTTGATGTCAGTCACTTGATGGTTTTTATCTCAGAGTATAGCCAATCCATCTCCATTTCTCCCTGCATATATTTTGCACAATCCGTTCCTGCTGAGTTGGTTTGCTCATTGCCAGAGATCCCTGATCTTTCCTGTCCGGCCATCTGATCTTAATTAGTATTGAGCGAAGACAGCTGTTGATGAAAGTCTATAGTTTGTTCGAAGTGCCCTTCATGACACGGCATCAAGTCTCTGCTCTTTATTGTAGCACTGAATTTACATTGGAGTTGAAAATCCGGATCTTATTTTTCATGCTGAGTAGTGCTGTTGACCTCCACACAGACTTGAGAGTAATGAAAGCTCGCCTTGCTTTCCCGATGCTCACTGCTGTGATATCCTCATCAGTTACGTCCACCTGAAGCAAAGAATGATTACTTATTGCTTTCACTTTACGGTTGACTGTTTTGTTTCTAATTTAGCTATTCTGTTGTTTGGAGAATGAATATTTCAGCTTGTAAACGTTTCAGTGTCATGATAGACAACTAAATAAATGCAGCTTCAAATGTTCATTAATTTGCTTTATTCTGATTGGTCGTTACTTACTTGTCTGAATGTATTTTGAAGGTGATTGGCTAACGATTATAATGGTATAATGAAGTACTGCCTCTTAGTGAAAGGCAACCGGCGACTGATAATAACAGTAATCGTAAACTTACAGTGAGAGTTATAATGCCTGCCAACTGACTCTGAAGCATGCTAGTAAGTAACACTCAAGTAAAAGTTTCTATCTTCTAAAATGAGAGGACACACGACGTGGATTTCTCAAGGAGATTCATTTTTCACACAGAGTTCCAGTAGTTGTGGTACTGTTCTCATGGATTAGGGTTACTAACTTTACGCCCAACCTTGTTTCTTTTCCAAGTCTACTATCCACCGGTAAACAATGTGTGGTTTAGTAATTTGCCGGTCGGAAATCGAACACAAATCTGCACTGAGCGCGGGATGCTGTCTAGAAGGTGGACGACGAAAGCTTCACAATTAAATCAACCAGTTCAGCACATTTATTCCTTAGTTTCTCAATTGATTACTGTTATATTATCTAATCCCTGTGGGACCATAATTATTTGTCTGTCTAGACCTACAGTTATAAACGTTTTGCTTACATTTTTTCAACGATTGTATACCTAGATTATGTTATAAACGCTGGCATGAATTTCTCCTAACTATCATTATTATTATTATTATTATTATTATTATTACCTCAATTATAATCCACTAATCCCCATTCAGATGATAGGGTTTGTGGGAATTTCGGATTAATTTCAGTGGATAGGTTTTCTTCACAAGTAAACATCAGTTAGAGAGACTACTGAATACCACCAAGAAGCACCGGACAGTTCACTGATACCTACTGGATAGATTTCCTGAAACTTCACTTGGAAGTCAAGATGAACTCAATGTTCATCGAAGGCATTTGTGGTGTCAGTGATATATCATGATTTGACAAGTTATAATTAAGGGGTCACTGAATTCCAGTCAAAATGACTCAGTGGTCAAAAAGCTTGGTCTCGTAACATCAAGGTTCCGGGTTCGGCCTCTGCTAGTAGGGTGCTCGGTTCCGACTGTTGAGGAATAACAAAATAGGACGAAACTGCTCGTGACGAAAACCTAACAAATGGAACTAATTCACATGCCTGAACATTAATTCTGTTGTACAAAAAAGTTATAATGGCTGTTTGTGGAGTGTGATAATCGGACATCCCGTCAGTGATGGTCATTCCATCTGAACAAAAGTCTACTTCAAAGTGATCGAAGAAGTGAACAACAACTTAAGGAAGGTCGTACACCATTTAGCCACTGGGACCCGATTCAGTGGCCATTCCATGAATTCTAACTTCTACCAATTCCTTTGAACCCTAGTGGGTGCGTACTGCCGATGATTCCCGAGAGACTAGGATGAAACAGCTGTCCAGTACTCCCTGGTGTTCAGTGGTTCTCTGACTGATATCAATCCGTGATCAACTCGTGAGAACAAATTTAATCCTTAGAAACCAACTGTTGAAAATTAATATGATGCTCGCTAGTGACTTGCTACAGAACGGAGTTGACTGGAGCAGTTCTAGTGAGAAGTCGTGACAAGTGAGGTTCAACCAATCAAGTGTGAGGATGGATGTCTCATCGATGACATTGTTTGGTGATCGCACCGAATCACGAATTGGTAGAAGTTAGAATTCATGGGCTGGCCGCTGAATCGGGTCGAGTCCCGATGGCTGAATGGCATCCGAACTCTGCTTGTAACCAGGAGGTCTTAGGTTCGAAACCCGGTAGGTGTGTGCGTACTGCAGATGAGTCACAAACTATTATGAAACAACTGCCCAGTACTCTCTGCTGGTTTTCAATGGTTCTCTAATTGACAGCAATCCGTGGTCAAACGCAATAAACAAAATAAATCACTACAAATCAAACCTTAGAAATATAAAACTGCCATTGTACAACTGAGCATGAATGAATTCGCCACTGAAAAGAGACTCTTCACTGAACTGCGTGTTTTATTTTCACTGATGCCTGGATGGAGATTATTCATGAATTCTATTGATCACAGTCGTTTCAAATGTCAAGGACCATTGGATCGGGTCCCAGTGGCTCAATGGTCTACGAGCTCGGCTTGTAACCGAAAGGTCCTGGGTTCGAATCCCGGTGGGTGTGTACTGATGAAGAGTCCCAAACTAGGACGAAACAGCTATCCAGTACTCCCAGGTTTTCCAGTGGTTCTCTAACTGATGTCAGCTCATGATGAAATCCTCCATGCAATCAAATGTCAATGTCTTCTTTTCATTATATGTGGTGTCCAAATACTATTTCACACTCACATGATTTCATATCATTTTGAATGTCTGCGTAACATGTTTTATGTCGCCTGGCCGAGTCATATGTCACATGACGTCATTTATAAGTGATATTTAAGACCCAAGGGTGGGGTGGTTTGGAAACAGACACATCGATCTACAACCTTGAAGTAGGTGATGTGATACGAGTCGCAAAATACCGAAAGTGATCACCCAGTAACTTGCAGTACTAGTGTGTGCATGTGTGTGACTGTGGTAACTCGTCTACGAGTTTCACTTTCAGTTTCTACTATGCGAGTCATTTGTGTAGCCGTACAAATGAACAGTCAGACAAAGAATGGTCACGAGGTCTATAAATCCGGTGAATAAACATTATTTCCGTAATGAATAATAATAAGAACGTCAGAGATTAAAAAGGAGGCGGAAAGTAGACAGATTGTGTTCAAATGTAGTTCAATCACACGATAAATGATCAATTCTCGCTCAAGGTTGTCTAGTTATCCTTCCCTATTCACCTCTGAGTGTTATCGCTATTACAAAATGTCACAGAAAAAAGCAATGGCTGACAAGCCATGATTACTGGTGTTTCGTAAATAGTCACACGACCATTATATCTCCTTGTTGTGAAGTGAAATTTTAGTTAGAAAGGCCAAATCTACCTCTCCCCAATCCAACCCATGTCATTTAGTAATGAAGGTGATGAATTTCAGAGAAAAGTTGCTTTCCCACTGGTACAGAATTGATGATGGTGTGGGGCAAGAAAAGCAGAAACTTAGAAAGACGTGCGTTTCCATTAGTGATCGGTACAGAAAATGGCAGGAATACGCAATAAACACGATAGTCAAATAACCTTGAAACAACCAATCAGATCGCTCATTAACGCAAAAATGAATGCTGTTCGTAATCTTCGTTGTACGCTTCACCCAGATTTGGAATTTGACTTCTGTCTGGAAAATGGATTGATAGAGTGGACTAAAACATGCATATGTGGTGGAGGGATAATGACTCTAAAAAAGTATAACTCCGCTAATGATAGTGGTTATGCATTCAGATACGACCACTGCTACATGAGGAAGTCTGTACGAGTTGTTAATTCGTACATTATGGTAACGTTTTTAGATACTTTCTTCTCGAAATCGAAATTCTCCCTTAGTGAAATATTGCGTATGTGCCATTACTGGATACGGAAGCGACCAGTATATGCCACAGATGCGGAAACAGAAAATACTCAAATGTCAACAGTGCAGTGGTATCAATTGTGTCGTGATATCGTGGCCCAAACAATCAATACAATTACTTCTATACTTCGAGGAACTGGTGTCATCGTTCATATTGACTCATTAAACGAAACATGAATCGTGGTAGGACCAGCGCAATTCGTGTTTGGATGGTGGGACTGTACGACACAAATCTTCGTAAAGGGTATGTAGAACGCATTACGAACAGAAGTGCTGATGTATTATTACTAATTAATTATACAACGACTAGTCCTCCTAGACACTACCATTCACACAGATGAGTGGAGAGGTTATTCAGTATTATCTTCACTAGTCTACATTCATCATAAAGTTAACCATTCTTCTGAATTGGTGGATCCTATCAGTGGAACCCATATAAATTCTATTGAAGAAATCTGGGCCCACCTGGAAAAACATATTAGACTGGTAAAGGGCTCCCGAAAT